GTCTGAACCATGTTAGCAATTGCCGCATTTTATGATTATGAAATCCGGCAAATGGATGTCAAAACTGCATTCCTTAATGGATTTCTTAAAGGAAGAGTTGTATATGATGCAACCAGAAGGTTTTGTCGATCCTAAGGTGCTAACAAAGTGTGCAAGCTCCAGCAATCCATCTATGGACTGGTGCAAGCATCTCGGAGTTGGAATATATGCTTTGATGAGGTGATCAAAGCATGTGGTTTTATACAGAATTTCAGAGAAGCCTGTATTTACAAGAAAGTGAGTGGGAGACCTGTAACATTTCTAATTTTGTATGTGGATGACATATTATTGATGGGAAATGATATAGAATTCTGGATAGCATAAAAGGATACTTGAATAAGAATTTTTCAATGAAAAACCTCGGTGAAGTTGCTTACATATTGGGCATCAAGATCTATAGAGATTGATCAAGACGCTTGATAAGACTTTCAATGAGTACATACCTTGACAAGATTTTGAAGGAGTTCAAAAATGGGATCAGTCGAAGGAGTTCTTGCCTGTATTGTAAGGTGTGAAGTTGAGTGAAGACTCAAAACCCGACCACGACAGAAGATAAAAAGAGAGAATGAAAGTCATTCCCTATGCCTCAGCCATAGGTTCTATAAAGTATGCCATGATGTGTACCAAACCTGTTGTGTACCTTCTCATGAGTTTGGCAAGGGGGAGGGTACAATACTGATCCAGGAGTAGATCACTGGACAGCGGTCAAAACTATCCTTAGTTACCTTAAAGAGGACTAAGGAAATGTTTCTTGGTTATGGAGGTGATAAAGAGTTCGTCGTAAAGAGTTACTTCGATGCAAGCATTGACACTGATCTAGATGACTCTAAGTGTCAATCTAGATATGTATTAAATGTGGGAGCAATTAGCTAGATTAGCTCCATGCAGAGCATTGTAGACATAAAAAATTGCAAAATACATATGAATCTGAATGTGGCAGACCCGTTGACTAAACTCCTCTCACAAGAAAAACATGATCACACCTTAGTACTCTTTGGGTGTTAATCACATAGTGATGTGAACTAGATTATTGACTCTAGTAAACCCTTTGGGTGTTGGTCACATGGAGATGTGAACTATGGGTGTTAATCACATAAAGATGTGATCTATTGGTGTTAAATCGCATGGCGGTGTGAACTAGATTATTGACTCTAGTGCAAGGGGGAGACTGAAGGAATTATGCCCTAGAGGCAATAATAAAGTTCTTATTTTATATTTCCTTATTTCATGATAAATTTTTATTATTCATGCTAGAATTGTATTAACCGGAAACTTGATACATGTGTGGATACATAGACAAAACACCGTGTCCCTAGTATGCCTCTACTTGACTAGCTCGTTAATCAAAGATGATTAAGTTTCCTAGCCATAGACATGTGTTGTCATTTGATGAACGGGATCACATCATTAGATAATGATGTGATGGACAAGACCCATCCGTTAGCTTAGCATAATGATCATTCAGTTTTATTGCTATTGCTTTTTTCATGTCAAATACATATTCCTTTTACTATGAGATTATGCAACTCCCGGATACCGGTGGAATACCTTGTGTGCTATCAAACATCACAACGCAACTAGATGATTATAAAGATGTTCTACAGGTATCTCCGAAGGTGTTTGTTGGGTTGGCATAGATCAAGATTAGGATTTGTCACTCCGAGTATCGGAGAGGTATCTCTGGGCCCTCTCAGTAACACACATCATAAGAAGCCTTGCAAGCAGAGTGACTAATGAGTTAGTTGCGGGATGATGTATTACAAAACGAGTAAACAGACTTGCCGGTAACGAGATTGAACTAGGTATGAAGATACCGACGATCGAATCTCGGGCAAGTAACAAATCAATGACAAAGGGAATAACGTATGTTGTCATAACGGTTCAACCGATAAAGATATTCATAAAAGATGTGGGAGCCAATATGAGCATCCAGATTCCGCTATTGGTTATTGATCGGAGAGATGTCTCGGTCATGTCTACATAGTTCTCGAACCCATAGGGTCCGCACGCTTAACGTTCGATGATGATATTGTATTATATGAGCTATGTGATTTGGTGACTGAATGTTGTTGGGAGTCCCGGATGAGATCACGGACATGACGAGGAGTCTTGAAATGGTCGAGAGGTAAAGATTGATATATAGGACGATAGTATTCGGACACCGGAAGTGTTCTGGAAGGTACCGGGTACAAATCGGGTCACCGGAGAGGAGTTTCGGGCAACCCCGGCAAAGATATGGGCTTAATGGGCCGAGGGAGGGGCAGACCAGCCCACAAGGGGCTTGTGCACCCCTTTCCCTGGCCGTAGGCCCTAGAGGAAGGAAAGGAGGGGGCGCCACCTCCTCCTGCCTTTCCCCCTTGGTAGGAGAAAGGAAGGGGGGCACCTCCTCCTTCCTCCCCCTCACCGCCAAAAGAAGGAAAGGGGGCCGCTGGTCAGGGTAGGAGCCCAAGTAGGATCCCTCCTACTTGGGATGCCCCTAGGGCTGCTTCTCCCCCCTCCCACCTATATATACTTAGGGAAGGGGCGCCTAGAAGACACACCAACAATCGTTCACCGTGTGCGGCGCCTCCTTCCACAGATTACACCCTTAGTCATATTCTCGTAGTGCTTAGGCGAAGCCCTGCGCGGACCACTTCACAATCACCATCACCACGTCATCGTGTTGACCAAACTCATTTACTTCCTTGACACTTTGTTGGATCAAGAGTTCGAGGGATGTCATCGAGGTGAACGTGTGCAGAATTCGGAGGTGCCGTACGTTTGCTGCTTGATCGGTCGGAATGAGAAGAAGTTCGAATACATCAACCGCGTTGTCAAACGCTTCCGCTTTCGATCTACGAGGGTAGACACACTCTCCCCCTCTCGTTGCTATGCATCTCCTAGATAGATCTTGCGTGAGCGTAGGATTTTTTTTAAATTGCATGTTACGTTCCCAACACACCTGTCCATCAAGACTAACCTCCTCCTCCTCGTACCTAGTAGTACGGAAACCGCACCTCATATACTCAGTTTTAGTTCTACTAAGCCTAAAGCTTTTCGATTCCAAGGTTTATCTCCATGACTCTAACTTCCTATTGACCCGTCCTACTATCGTCGACTAGCACCACATCATCCGCAAAGAGCGTACACCATGAGATATCTCTTTATATATCCACTGTAACATCATCCATCACCAAAACAAAAAGATAAGGGCTCAAAGCTGACCCCTGGTGCAGTCCTATTCTAATTGGAAAGTCATCAGTGTCGCCATCACTTGTTTGAACAGTTGGGACAACATTATCGTACATGTCCTTGATGAGGTTAATGTACTTTGCTGAACTTTGTGTTTCTCCAAGGCCCAGCACATGACATTGTGCAATATCTTATCATAAGCTTTCTCCAAGTCAGAACACCATATGTTGGTCATTCTTTTTCTCCGTGTATCTCTCCATAAGTTGCTATACCAAGAATATGACTTCCATGATCGATCTCCCAGGCATGAAACCAAATTGATTTTTGGTCACGCTTGTCATTCTTCTTAAGCGGTATCAATGACTCTCTCCCATAGCTTTATTGTATGGCTCATCTGTTTAATTTTATGGTAATTAATACAACTCTGAGCCTCCTCTTGTTCTTGAAGATTGATACTAGGAGTATACCTGGCCATCTGCCGGGCCAGGCTTCGGGTCGGGCCTGCCAAAGCCCGAGGCAGAAAACCTAGGTCCGAGCCCGCCCCGGCCATCGGGCCTGGTTTTTGAGCCCAAGCCCGGCCGAAGGTGATAAAGCCCGTCGGGCCTCGGGCCACGGGCCGAGCCCCTTTAGTAAATCGCGAAAATGGGCCCGGCCCAGCCTTCAGGCTAATCTAGGCCCGGTGTAGCGTCGGGTCGGGCCGGGTTGGGCTTTTTCGGGCCGGTCGGGCCGGGCTGTCCATGGCCAGGACTAACTAGGAGTAATATACTCAGTCTTCATTTTTCTGGCATTTTATTTGCCCGAACTACGCTATGCCCCGAGGTCTCTTCACATCATAATGGGGATACAACCAGAACCCATTTTCTCTTCGGTAGATGTCATCATACGATGTGGCCTTCTTGGCCATCTTGTACATCTTCTGCAAGAAAAGAAAATGTACTGCTGTCATGTTTTAGATGGTCACGTACCGCGTGAAAGGAGGCTAGCCGGGTAGCCAGGGGACAGGGGTCGATGGCAGAGAGCGCACAGAGCCGAGCCATGTTGACCAGGCGAGGCCCCATGCACAGCCCCATGCGTCTCACGGACGTAGATCTGGGCATCTGGCCTTGCCCGTATCGCAATCTCGTGACACATCCATACGCGCGTGTGAGGTGCGAGCGTCTACCCGGCATGCGCGCCGGGATTCCTTGTACGGTGAGAGCGTGCCCGGCCCGGCGCTGGGCATGCATGGACGCGGTCTCGGGTGTGCCGTGCTGTGGCTCCTGCATAGAGCCCGACGAGCCATGAGGCGTCGCCGCCCGTGGCACACTGCACGGCACGTGAAGCGCGCTTTCGCTACGGCGTTGAAGGGTGCGGCCGGAGTGGGAAGCGGCGTGTCACCGGTGCGGTCGGCCGGCGTGTCCAGGGAACGGAACGGAGGCATTTAAGGAAAAAACCTCCAAGGTGCAGCCTGCAGCAAGCAAAACCATGGCCGAAGCGTCGTCGGTCTTTCCCAGCAGTTTGACAGTTCCAGTAATTGCATCCCGTCAAAGTTCCGGAGCACCAGCGAAGGTGTCAGCGGTGGAGTGTCCCGTACATGTAGCCAGCCCCTACTGACAGTCTGACACCGACAGCCGACGTCAAGCGGCAGCGTCGCGTCCCTTCGCTTCTCTCTACTCAAAGAACCTGCGCGAGCTCCATACGCTCTACCACTCTTGCCTCTATCCACAGCGTGTTCATTCCAACACAAGAACAACACACACGACGCGCACTCGCACCAGCCAGCCACGGAGGAAGAAAGGCGCACTCCAGAGATGACCGAGCGAAGGCAGGAACACTCGCCGCCGTCCAAGCTCCCCCGCCTCTCCGGCCCCGACGCCGACGACAACGACGGTAGGGAACCGTCTGCCTCAGGCAAGCAAGTGATTCATTCATTAGTCTTTGACGTGCGTTGCTTGGATTAGGCGCAGGGACGGTGACCATGGCGGCGCCGTTGCCGCTGGTTCTTGGGCTGGGTCTCGGCGTAGGCGGCAGCAGCAGTGACAGTGGACGAGGCGACGCGGAGGCATCTGCGGCGACGCGGCCATCGGCGCTGACGTTCATGCAGCGGCAGGAGCTGGAGCACCAGGTGCTCATCTACCGCTACTTCGCCGCCAACGCTCCCGTGCCCGTGCACCTCGTCCTCCCCATCTGGAAGAGCGTCGCCGCCTCCTCCTCCGCCCCGCAGAGGTTCCCATCCCGTACGTGCCGCTCTCCTCCTCGTACTAGTTTCCCCCCGGCGTTTACTGTCTGTTTGTTTTGGATTGATTGGTTGGTTATCGCCGATGTTGATCGTTTGGTTTGTGCAGTGGCGGGACTGGGGAGCATGTGCTACGACCACAGGAGCAGCATGGAGCCGGAGCCGGACCGGTGCCGGCGCACGGACGGCAAAAAGTGGCGGTGCTCGCGCGGCGTGATGCCGGGGCACAAGTACTGCGAGCGCCACGTCCACCGCGGCCGCGGCCGTGCAAGAAAGCCTGTGGAAGCCGCGCCGGCCACATCAGCCATCCCGATCCGCGCAATGCACGCCGCCGACGCGCAGGGCGCCACAAGCGCGCACGCGGCGCCACCGCAGCGCCTCGGCTTCTCCTCCCCCGCCGGCGTCTACCTGGCCCACGGCACCGCCCGTGCCACCTGACCTGATGACGGCATTTTCTTCAGTTAGCTACAGATGTTTTGCTTCCTTGTTTGTGCTAATCTGTAGCGGGAAATCTCCGAGGATTATGCTGTACTGGTGCTGGTAATTTTTATTTTCGCCTTGACCACGCCTCGGTGTTCCCGAGTCGTCAAAGTTCGATGGCATGCGTAGGGGGGTTCGTGCTGCCCTGTTTACTCTGTCTGTGCAGTGACACTGACATGTCTGATGCCGCAGGCGAGTTGTTTTTCATTTGTTGTAGTGGAAGACGCGCCTGGGTGCGGGGGTATGGGCGGGGCCCCGGCTAGTGGGGGTTCTGGGGCTGAGTGCCATGCTGAACGACCGGTCAGATGCTGGGCGCAGACGCTGGACCCGTCCGTGGTGCAGACTGCAGAGTGGCCCGACTGAAGACCAGCTCGCCGCAGCGACCAATACTCGAAAGAAACTTCGTGAAAAAATCCTACCTCCTCCGTCCAAAAAAACTCAAACTTGTTTCTCAAATGGTGTTGAGGGACAAAAATTTTCGGACGGAGGGAGTACTATCTATCCATTACAATATGAGAGGAGATGAACTATCTATCTATTTCAATATGAGGGGACAACGAACTATCTATCCATTTCAATATGAAAGGACAACTAACATCAGAAATAATAAAAATTACATCATAGATTCATAGAGCATCAAACGATGACTGCAAACACTGTAGCGAGCCCAAGGCATGCCGCTGTCATCGCTCCTCACTCACCGGAGCATGGGCAATATTGTTGTAGTAGACAGTCGGAAAGTCGCCTCCTCACTCACCGGAGCCTGGCGATACTTGTTACAGTAGATAGTCGGGAAGTCATCGTGCTAAGGCCTCGTAGGATCGGCCAACCAGAACATCAAATGCCGTCGATGAATAGTAGTGTAGATCGACAGGATCCAACATGAAGACACACGAATGTAGACAAACGACGAATAAATCCGAGCAAATCCACCAAAGGCAGTTCTGTCAAAGACACACCTTCACACGCCCACCGACGATGCTAGATGCACCATCAGAAAGGAGGCTATGCGGGAAGAACCTTATTTCATTTTCAAGGAGCCGTCGCCGTCTCGCTTTTCTGAGAAGGACACAAACCCTAACAAACTCAAAAACACATCTAAAAATGGTGTCCTCCTACCGCCAAGGACCGGGATCCCCCACATTCCCATGGCGCTAAGGCCACCGGAGACAAGGCGGTCCGACGTCGTTGCGAGGCGAAGGAACCCTAATTTTTTGGGGGAGGAGACGTCTGCTTGACCCCCCTCCCCCTTTTTTTTGCGTAGACGTACATCCTGATGTTAATTAACGACCATGATTAGACTTGTTTTATTCGAAAGAGACTTTCAATCTATTTATAATTTGTCATGGATGTACAGAAAACATCAAAATTAACAAAAAAACAACAACTACAAGCATAGGAGTGATCGAGTGAGCCGACGGTGCGCCGCCGTCATCGCTCCTCACTTGTTGAAGCTGAGCAAACCTGGTTGTAGAAGACGATCGGGAATTTGTTGAGCTAAGTGAAGGAAATATGTCCTAGATGCAATAATAAAGTTGTTATTTTATATTTCCTTATATCGTGATAATGTTTATTATTAATGCTAAAATTGTATTAACCGGAAACTTGATACATGTGTGGATACATAGACAAAACACCGTGTCCCTAATAAGTCTCTACTAGACTAGCTATAACCAAAGATGGTTAAGTTTCCTAACCATAGACATGTGTTGTCATTTGATGAACGGGATCACATCATTAAGAGAATGATGTGATGGACAAGACCCGTTCGTTAGTTTAGCATCATGATCGTTTAGTTTTATTGTTATTGCTTTCTTCATGTCAAATACATATTCCTTCGACTATGAGATTATGCAATTCCTGGATAACGAAAGAATACCTTGTGTTCTATCAAAGATCACAACGTAACTGGGTGATTATAAAGTTTCTACCGGAGAGACAAGACGAAAACATGTGCCAACCCCTATGCATAAGTTCACAAGGTCACAGAACCCGCAAGTTGATCACCAAAACATACATCAAGTGATCACGTGAATATCCCATTGTCACCACAGATAAGCACATGCAAGACATACATCAAGTGTTCTCAAATCCTTAAAGACTCAATCCAATAAAATAACTTCAAAGAGAAAACTCAATCCATTACAAGAAGGTAGAGGGGGAGAAACATCATAAGATCCAACTATAATAGCAAAGCTCGCGGTACATCAAGATCATGCCAAATCAAGAACATGAGAGAGACAGATCAAACACATAGCTACTAGTACATACCCTCAACCCCGAGGGTGAACTACTCCCTCCTCGTCATGGAGAGCGCCGGGATGATGAAGATGGCCACTAGTGATGGATCCCCCCCCCCTCCGGCAGGGTGCCGGAATAGTGTCCCGATTTGTTTTTATTAGCTACAGAGGCTTGCGGCGACGGAACTCCAGATCTTGGTTCTGTTCTGGAAGTTTGGGGATGTATAAGAGCTGTTGTCATCGGGAACAAGTCAGGGGGGGGTCCCCGAGTCAGCCACGAGGTAGGGGGCAAGCCCAGGGGGTAGGGCGAACCCTCCAGCCTCGTGGTTGACTCGGGACTCTTCTGGTCCATCTCCGATGCTTCGAGGGCTTCTTCTGGTCCAAAAATAATCTCCGTAAATTTTCAGGTCAATTGGACTCCGTTTGATAGTCCTTTTCTGTAGAACTCTAAAACAAGGAAAAAACAGAAACTGACACTGGGCTCTAGGTTAATAGGTTAGTCCCCAAAATCATATAAAATAGCATATAAATGCATATAAAACATCCAAAACATATAATATAATAGCATGGAACAATAAAAACTTATAGATACATTGGAGACGTATCAGCCTTAGGAAGGAGCACACCAGCCCACAGAGGGGTAGCGTGCCCCCCCCCCCAAGGAAGGAGGCCGAATAGGATTAGGAGGAGGGGTGACGCCCCCCTCTTTCCTTCTCCCTGCTCTCTTTCCCTCTTTCCCCTTCCGGTAAAAGGAAGGGGGGGCGAATCCAACTAGGAGCTCAAGAAGGATTCCTCCTACTTGGGTGCGCCTAGGGCTGCCTCTCTCCCTCTCCCTCCTTTATATACGTGGGGAGGGGCACCTAGAACATGCATGAACTATTCCTAGCCGTGTGTGGCGCCCCCCTCCATAGTTTATGCCTCCGGTCATATTCTCGCAGTGCTTAGGCTAAGCCCTTGCGCGGATCACTTCACCATCACCGTCACCATGCCGTCGTGCTAACGGAACTCATCTACTTCCTCGACACTCTGCTGGATCAAGAGATCGAGGGACGTCATCGCGCTGAACGTGTGCAGAACTCGGAGGTGCCATATGTTCGGTACTTGATCGGTCGGAACGAGAAGAAGTTCGACTACATCAACCATGTTGGCGAATGCTTCCGCTTTCGGTCTACGAGGGTACGTGGACACACTCCCCCCTCTTGTTGCTATGCATCTCCTAGATAGATCTTGCGTGAGCGTAGGAAATTTTTGAAATTGCATGCTAAGTTTCCCAACAGTGGCATCCAAGCCAGGTCTATGAGTAGATGATATGCACGAGTAGAACACAAAGAGTTGTGGACGGTGATCTTCATACTTATTACCACCAATGTCTTATTTTGATTCGGCGGTATTGTTGGATGAAGCGACCCAAACAACCTTACATGACCACGTTCATGAGACCGGTTCCACCGACAAACATGCAACTAGTTTCGCATAAAGGTGGCTGGTGGGTGTCTGTTTCTCCCACTTTAGTTGAATATTCAAATCCATAAGATTCAAAACAAAATTTTAATATTGACATGAAAACAATAATACTTCAAGCATGCTAACAAAGAAATCATGTCTTCTCAAAATAACATGGAGAAAGCAAGCTATCCCTACAAAATCATATAGTATGGCTATGCTCTATCTTCATCACAGAAAACATTTAAATCATGCACAACCCCGATAACAAGCCAAGCAATTGTTTCATACTTTTGATGTTCTCAAACTTTTTCAATCTTCACGCAATACATGAGCGTGAGCCATGGACATAGCACTATAGGTGGAATAGTATGGTGGTTGTGGAGAAGACAAAGAGAGGGAGATAGTCTCACATCAACTAGGCGTATCAACGGGTGGTGGTTGTGGAGATGACAAAAAGAGGGAGATAGTCTCACATCAACTAGGCGTATCAACGGGCTATGAAGATTCCCATCAATAGATATCAATGTGAGTGAGTAGGGATTGGCATGCAACGGGTGCACTAGAGCTATAAGTGTATGAAAGCTCAAAAAGAAACTAAGTGGGTGTGCATCCAACTTGCTTGCTCACGAAGACCTAGGGCATTTGAGGAAGCCCATCGTTGGAATATACTAGTAAAGTGATGAGATCAAATCAATAATTCAAGAACCAGATACTCAAGATGTCCATAACTGGGGACACGGCTAACCATGATTAGTTTATACACTCTGCAGAGGTTTGCGCACTTTTCCCCACAAGACTCAATCTCCTCCGTTGGATTTCTCGCACTACATGATGTTTGAGAAACAGATGACCGAGATACAGTCTTTCAGAAACATTTACTCTCTACTCCGGGCGGACCGGTACACCTACAACCCCCCTACATCTGCTAGTCCACCTCTTCGAGCTCTCGCAAATTACTCAACTATGCCAAAGCCCATAATGGCTTGTGGCTGCACACGGAAGTTTCTAGCATGAATAATCTTATGATCCCTTTGAGCCTGGATGGCATTCCATAGGGTGATCACACGGGTACTCCGGGATCCCCTTGGGCAAGCACTGGGTTCTCCAAGTGCCCGAGCAAACCACTGGGTGCTCCAGGGTGCCCCAACCAATCCACCCATATGTATATTAAAGTAGCCACCTTAAGTTAAACCCTTAATTAACAATATCTCTCACATCTTTCATGAATTCTCTCAAATCAAACCATGTCAACGAGCATAGCATAGTATTATA